CGCCAGCGCGCCGCGCCCGCGCCCGCCCGGCTAGAGACTCTTGGCTCAGTGAGTGGTTGGTAGGGAGCGGAGAGCGTGCCTGAGGCCACCGAGAGCGTGCCGAGCCGAGCCGAACCGAGCCGAGCCGCAGAGGGAGATGAGCCCGGCTCACCCCGGCCTGAGCAACAAGTGCGTGTCCTCGTACAGTACAGTACAGTGATCCCCATCGCCTGGATTAACTACAAGCCCTTGGATTTATCACCATCATCATCTGCATCACCATCACCACCTGTGGATTGTGTGTGCGCGTGTGTGTTGTGCCAGTGGGATACAGTGTTTGTGTCAACATAGTGCCTGATGGATACGCCCCAGCACGTCCTGCACTGAGCGAGGTACGTACACAACGCTCGCAGGAAAGCCCATTCACGAAAGCGCGCCGCGGCGCCTCGAGACGAGACGAACGACAACGACGCACCGCGGCCGAACAGCGCCGCCATGCGGGGCGCGAGCAGCGCGAGGCGCCACCGCTCCGTCGCGGTGCGGGGCGCGGCGAGGCGCGGCGGGGCGCGGCGGGCGCAGCAGCACTCCCACGTCGCGGCCGCGGCTCCTGCCTGCGTGCCTCCTCGTCCCGCTCCGCGTCCCGCCCGGCTGGTGGCCGCGGTAGCCGCGGTAGGCCGGCGCATCGCGCAGTGAGGTTAGGCCCACGGGCCCGGGACGCACTCGGATGAGGTCGGACGCGATGCTGTGCGCGATGTTGGATGAGTCAGCTGCGTCGGGTTATCTGCCCGCCGCGCGGGGCGGAGCGGCGCGCGCCCGCGTCCTCTCCCCTGGACGTGATCCTGGAGCCGGCCTCGGCCAGTGTCACGGCCGGGGTGCGGCGGCGGACTTTCCGCCCGCTCGTCGCCACCCTCCTTGACGCCGTCCTTTCCCAGAAGTAGGTTCGCAAGCGTGCTCGGGGTTGCCTGTCGCCTCCCCATCGCCGAGCAGCCCCTGCCCCACGGACTTGATCCGGTGTTATTCCTCCCCACGGCGCGGAAGTACCGTCGCGTCGCGTCGTCCCAAAGGGCGGGGGAGTCCCGGCGCCCATCCTCCCGACGCGGTCCAGTCAGGACACCTGTTGGTCAGCGCCGCCACCCCAGCCCGGCCTCGGAGGCCCGGAACTCGATCAAGGTCAGGCCCGTGAAGCGTGTCCGGTCCTCGAGCGCGGCAGAGAGTCCTCCGGACCTAAACGGGAGTGCAGAGACAGAGACTTGCGCGCCGGGCGGCTCACTCCGAGCCCCGCCCCGGCCGGCCTGCTGGCCGCCAGATGCGTGCCACCCCCGTGCGCCTCCGCCCTCTAGGGGCGGCCTGGGGGGCGGCCGACACACGCTCCCCTCAGCAGCGCCCCTCGGGTTTCACCACATTTCCACACCGCCCCCGGTGGCGTTTCCCAACGCCGAGGCCAGGTCGAGGGTTGTTCCTCCCCCGGAGCCCCCGCCCTCAGCCACCGCGGCCCGGCCGCCCTTGCAGCCAGCTCGTGGGGGTGGGGGAGGAAGGAGCGGCCGCCCCGCCCTGTCGGGATAGGACGGCGAGGAGAAGGGGAGGGGTGGGTGGCTGGTGGTGCGGTGGTGGGGGAGGCTCAGCGAGGGTGGCGGGCAGGGCGGGCGCGCCGCTCAGACTCAGGCTCGGCTCACTGACGTCAGGGCGGGCCGCTTGACAACAACACGCACAGTCCGCCTCGGTCCGGTCCGACTCCGTGCTACGCTCGCTACTCTGCGTGTCGTCCCATCGCGAGTTCCGTCCCGCCCCCTATATCCTGTTCGACACCGCCGAGTGCACCACGAGGATTTGTACTGGCGCGGCACGCCGCCCCCGGACGCGTCCTGCTGCACCGACCAGAAGGTAAACGGAGGGGGAGTGGGCAAGGATTGGCACGGTGCCGGCGGCGCCCGCCCGCCTGCGCCCCGCGAGCCCCGACTGGGTCGACGACTTGTTGACGTCGGGAAGGGCACCACGCGACGCGACGCCCAGCGCCGCGGCGCCGAGCCGGGCCGGCCTGACCCAGGACCGGTCCGGGCGCCGGCGGGCCGCCCCGCCCTCGAGGCCCTCATGTTCCTTATGATCAGGTTGAGTAATCGCTGGGGCTGGTATTGGAGTTCGCGTACGCTGGCCGAATGTTGGTGGTTTTACCAGAAGCTCCGCCGCGCCCCGCCGGCCTGGGGCCCAGCTCACGTGATCCATCCTCGGCCCCTGCCACCCCCACCCCTCCGCCCCTTCGCGGGGCCCCTCCCCTCCCGACCGCCGTTGCTGTCGGGGGAGAGGGGGGGAGGCCCGACGGGGCTCGGGGCCCGGCGGGGCCTCGGGGCGGGTGAAAGGGGAGAGGGGAGGGAGAGGGTGGGGACGACCATCACCAAGATGGCGGAAGGGCTGGGCTGGGTTGAAGTTCAGTGCGGAGCACACGGTGTGAAGTGATAAATTATTTTCCCCGTGCACGTTCACCTTACGCCTTTTCGCGTGCCCCCCGTACCCCTTTGCTCACCTGTGGCTGGGCGTCGCGGCGGCGTGGTCTGGCAGTGCATGGAGCAGCTCGCCGCTGACACCTGTAGGAGTGTCCCTCGGCGCTGGGCCCGCAGGGCTGGGCTAGGGGGTGGGGCCCCTCCCTCGAGCGGTACGGTGGTGTGCCAGCGTGTCCTGTCGAGTCGAAACCCTCGTTGCACTTCGCTGCACCATCCTCGTCTTGCATGTCAAGGTTAGATCGGTTTTGCCACAATTTACGTCAACGGATGTAGGAGGACGTGGGGTAGTGAATGTTCCGGCGACAACCCTCCCTCTAGTCCGCAGTCGCTACGGACTGAGCATGTCCGTTGTGTTACTTGATTTACTTTTCTTTGTGGATAGAGGGTAGGGCCGCCGTATCCGACCCCTGTGCATCTGTGCATTCCCCTCTCTTACTACTCGTTTGTTCCATGACAACCTTGACTGGTTGATTTCTGCTCTGTCAACTACAGACAAATTTAGCCATGGTCCTAATGTAATTAATGTAATTATGAATCCTGCTGTGGAGTTCCTTTTTCTTGACTTTCTGTTATTACTGAGCTGCTCGGATGTAAGAGGTGGTGTTTGATTCTCAAATTAGCACACATCAATCACAAATTAGCTTATTGTAGGACTGACCTGTGATTTCTTCCCTTTCTAATTTAATTTGTCCTCTTTGCTTGTGTGCTTGATTCATTTTAAAGCCTGTTGTAACTTTAATTTTTTTTTTGTTTTGACCTCTGTTTCAGGTTGTTTGGAGAATGCCTAGTACTCCGACTGACCACTGAGCCGGTGATAAAGAAGATTTCCGAGTGAAACGACATACACTTAGAAGTTGTCCTTTTAATCCTTCCAAGATGTCGCAACGCTTCTGCTTACGGTGGAACAACCACCAGTCGAATATGCTGTCAGTTTTTGATCAGCTCCTGCATGATGAATCTTTTGTGGATGTGACACTTGCTGTTGATGGGCAGGTACTTCGTGCTCACAAAATGGTGCTTTCAGCATGCAGTCCACTCTTCCAAGCCCTTTTTATTGGGCATCCGGACAAACACCCAATAGTGATTCTGAAAGATGTTCCCTATAATGACATGAGGTGTTTGTTGGACTTTATGTATCGTGGTGAAGTGAGTGTTGATCAGGACAGATTAACTGCCTTCCTCAAAGTGGCAGAATCATTAAGGATCAAAGGTCTTACGGAAGTCAATGAAGAAAAGTGTGACATTCCCTCCATTACCAACAATTTACTCTCAGCCATTCCCCAAGCCCATAGTACCCCTGCTGCACCTCCACCCCCTCATCTTCAGCGGATACAGATGCCTCAGAAGAGAACAATGCCTCCTCTAGTTGCATCTAATCCTCTTCTTGGTTCAGCCCTCACTGCCCCCAAACGCAAAAGAGGTCGCCCAAGGAGGGTATCAGGCAGTAGTGATGACCCCCATGTTCGTGATGGAAGCCCTCATGAACTGGATGGTGAAATGGATTTGGAATACGACAGTCAACGCAACACCGGTTCTGAGCATGGTTCACCTCCACCTCAAGATCTGATGGAAATGCGAATGGATTATGGACAACGCGCAAACAGTGTGGGGAGGCTCAACAAGTCATCAGATAGAGATGATTCATCTGGTGTAGAAGACGGCTCAAGTCAATCTCCCCTCAAAGATTCACCAACGCCAACCAAATCAGCACCCCAGACTCCTAGACGGTCAAAGGAGGATCCTGAGCCCACACCTGGTACTTCATCACAAGGTAAATTATTAGTGGTTTGCATTTTTGTTGTAGTTGTAGTTGTGCTTGTCAAATTTCTGCATCCTTCTTCTTGTCTTGAAGATCAGAATACAGTAGTTGACTTGGATAACTGATTTGCTGACTTGCTGCATTTGATGTCACCAATAGTGACCACATTCTCTTAAAACTCTTCAATTCTGTCTCTTGTTGTTGACATCAAAATATTCTGCCAGATCTGCCTGCTTACCCTCTGCCCAGTAGAATTGCGTGTCTCACTAATCTCTTTACATCTTGGTCTCTAATAAAGATTCTTACTGTAGTGTAGTTCAAAACACTGGTCTAGTGGCTTTGTGTGCATCTAAACTTTACTTTTTATTTTAAAGTCTAAGTAACTTTTACAATTGCACAGGTGTATTGTTTTTCTTTTCTTTTTTTTCTCTCTTTTTTTTTAACTTAAATTGAAAGTTAAGTCATACTGTGCTTTTGTTTCAGAATCAGGACAAGCACAGTTCAGAATAGGCAGCAATGGAAATAGTGGAGCAAATAAAGCGGGCACAGGATCGGGCAGTACTGGCAGTAGCAGCAATGCAGCAAGTCCCCAAAATAATGGAAATGGCATCGGATTGACAAACTCAGAAAATCTTCCACCTGGTAAGTTTTCTATATATCTTCCAAATGATTACAGTATTTATGGGTGGGATCACCAACCATCAGTGATTGGTGCTCACTTCTGAGTTGAAACCTTGCGTTGGGAGGGGTATTACACCAGCAAACCTAAAACCAGCATCAAATTCAATCTTGAAGAATGGTCAAGGATGTTTTCAGAATCTTCCACTACTTATATCAGACAGGCATCAAATAGGAAGAGAAATGCACATTCACAAGTTATTTGGGATTGCAACATATTGAAACATTACCTGTTAACTGAATATCAAAGTTCCATGCAAGAAGCCACATCATCCAAGCAAAGTCTTGTCATTTACAGTATTTAAGTTTTGTAGCAGTTTTTTCAAAGTAACATAATAATTTTACAATGGGTATTGTTGTTAGTGTTTTTCAAAGAAAAATGAATTTCTTTTGACTCCTTTTTTTTGTGTTAAATGTTGAGTATTTTGATTGGACGTGTGGCTTGATTTTGGGGCATGAATTTTTGGGGGATCATCCTTGCCTGTTTGTGGGGATTCTGATAATGTATATATTCACTGGTTCTCAAATTGGGTTATATTTTGGGGTTTTCATTGCATGAATGTTTTCAGTGTTGAGGATTTTTTTAGTTTTTATGTTGTTTTTTTTTATTTGAAAGCAAATGCATGACACTGATCTCTTTGAAACCATAATTTCATTTTGCTACAGTGGAGTTAAATTTATACTTCCAAAAATTGCTCAAACTGCACCTACTGATATGGAATTAATAATTGAAGTTGAGAAGGTCGACTCTGTTATTTTCCTTACTGAAGTATGCACAATGTTCTTACGCTGTGTCCCAGTTGAGGAATAGCCATCTAGCCCATTAATTATTATTTTCATACTTCCTCTACAATATTTTACATCGTTGGTGTGTTATTCCAATCTCCACCTATTTGTTTTTAATTTGAGAAAAGGCATGTCATTGTTGGTATCTCATCCATCTTATCCATCATTTTCATTTTGCATGACCATGGACAATACGTTTTTTTGTGTTTTTTGTGTTTTTATGTTTTGGGAATTCAACTATATTTGGCTACATTGTATGTTATTTCTTTCCCCCAGCATGCATGAAGTTTGGAAAAGATGTTTTTTTTTTCTTTTACAGGGATTCATCATTCATTAGGAATATCACTTATAAATGTCTTGTATGCATCATTTGGCTCGAGATTTAGACTGTTGCCAAGAAGGGTTTTTCTACTATCATAGCATGGACTAAATGGGTTTTGAAAAGTGAAAATAAAATTATGTCATTAATCATTCAGCTGACAGGTACTTTTGGGTAATTACATCATGTTAAAATAGCCATCTACCTATTGAACTCCAACAACAATTGGCTTTTGGATACCTGTCTTAAGTTAAAGCCATTCTACGTAGTTCACATTTTCATTGAACATTTTTTTTATTAGTTTGTTCATGCCACTCAAGTTCAGCAAGTAATTATATTTGTGGCTAATGACCCAAGTGCAATCTTATACCTTGTATGTTTTTGTTACTGAACAGCTTCTGTACTGTTTTAGAAAGTTATTTTTATCATTTGGAGCATGGGAAACTTAAATTTAGTCAAGGGCATCGTTGCACAGTGAATCTATGTCCATTCTGTTGCAGAATTGTGCCATGGCAGTGATAGTAAATTTTGGTGCTACATTTGCTTACACAGATTTGGGGTATTGCTAATTTTGGTTGATTTCATTTTATAATGCTCTGATAAAGACATGGTTGCTAGTCTCAATTGGTATTAAATTCCAAAGTTTCACTGTTCCATAGTCATTTTCTTAAATTCCTAAGCATCCTATTATGCTTGTATTATGTAAGATTATCCCATGCTTCAATTCATAGTGCCTACAGTAGTCTTCAAGTTAGGAGGAGGAAATTGCTCATTGAAGATATGATGCTCTTGAAGATAAAAGTCTTTGAGGTAAGTGACCTATTTTTATTTTTTTGGATTTGTTATAAACAGTGAAACTTTGTTCCCATGTGGACATCTGGTGCAGGGTATCATGGATTTTGTTGGGGAAGCATGTTTTGGATGTCACTACCCATGCATCACATTGTAAAAAGTTTTAGATCTATCTGCTGTACAGTATTGTGTTTGGGTGGTATGGAGAGAACTTGTTTCTTATTTTAAATTGCATTCCAAAAGCAGGGGGAGAAAGACTTTTATATGTACAAAATTAATTATAAAATTGTTGTTTCTCCCCAGAGTGCTCAGAGATGTATATTTCTCAATATCTCTGTCTTGCAAACTATTGTCTTTCTGTAAGCGTGCTGCATGGGTACAAAATGGGTTTACCTTAAGCTGGCCTGATACCTTCAGGTTGAACTCCCGTCTTCCTTCATTACCCTAACAGGTTTTGTTTTAATGTTATTATCCCAAATTTTACTCAGCACATTTTGAGACAAAATATTTTTGAATTTAATGTCAACATTTTTACTAACTTCACTCTTTTCTTTTTTTATTTTTGATGAATTCTGTTATAATACCATTTTAATTACACTATTGGCTACTTAAGAAAACTTTCTCTCTTTACTTTTTATAGAAGCATGCACGTCCTTTCATTAAAGTAGCTTTGAACTTTTTCTGAGGCCCCTCCTTTGTTGGGTATTTTAAGTCTAGATATTTGCATTCCCTTATGGTGAACAAGCTGCTTTTTGTTGCATTTCGGTTATAAGATCATAAGAAAGAGCTTGTTGTAGTTTTAGGTTTGAATGCCTGGCAAAGTACAGTAGATTACATTGCTTTTTGAAGGTGTGTAAGAGTTTGAAATTGGCACACCCTTGTAGCTCCTCTTTTGATAGCCTTCAATTGGTTCAATGGTTGCAAACCAAATTCAGTACCTGGAATGCAATGTCAAAGTATTATTGTGGGTTTCTGATTTGATTAGTAGTTTACACAATTAGTTTCCATTATTAGTTTCTTGTTTGTTGCACTTACACCTCTTTTTGTTTCTAAGTTGTTGTTCCATTCATGTGTTTCATTTTTCAGGACTCGCAGATTTTCATCTTGGAAGTCGTCTTCTATTGGCCTCAGCATTTTTCCCACCCACAGCTCTATTGGGAGATGTTGGAAACTCTGAACATGATGGTGATGCAGATGAGGTAGATGACACTGAAGAGGACCCTATCAACTTTTCGCAGAACAACTCAATGCCGGAGCCATTGCAACTTAAAGTAGATAATTTAGAGCCCAAAAATTTAGTCAAAAGAGAGATGGTGGACAAGCGTAAACCCTCTCGTCCTCGCAAACTCCCTGAACAGCTTACTATTAGCGCTATTGGTAACCATTGTGCAGATATCAAATATTCCCTTGCCCATCATTTTGATTCAGATATTGTTCAACCGGATTATGAAGCTTACAAATCTCTGATGGAACACCACCCTGTAGGATATATGACCCCAGAGCAGGAACAGAAGCCTGTTGATGGGAAAGTTGATGGGAGTCGTTCAGTTCGCCAATATTGTGTCAAAGAGGAAGGTAATTTGTACCGGTGTTGTGTTTGTAGCAGGACATACACCCATATCAGCAATTTCTGTCGTCATTTTATCACCACTCATAAAGGTGTGAAGCAAGAAGTGCCCTGCCCTATATGTGGAAAGTTATTTACTCGCAAGGATAATATGGTAACACATACTAAAATGGTTCATGGGTTAATAAAGCTGGAGAAGCCTGCTGCTCCACAGCCATAATAGATATAGTAATTTTTCCAAAGGATATTGGCAATTTTTCTTTCTCTTTTTTTTTTTTTTTTACATCTTCTGTAGATTGTTTATTTTGTATATAATGCCCAATTTAAATTGAACTCTCCGTCCATTCTGAATATGTGCATACCGTGAGGATTACAAATTTTCTTCATTGACTTAAAACATTCCGTAAGCTTGAAATTTACTCATGCATCAAGGGAAACCTGTAAATAATTCAGTGGGATAGTGAATTTAAAAACAGATTTTATTTATTTTGTTTGTTTTTTTTTGTTTGAGACTTTATTGTATGTTTAATGTGTTCAACCTCGAACACAAATTTAATGACTGAGTGATATCTCTCCAAATGCAATTGACAAATCTGAAATGTTCATACCAATAGTGATATAAATATGTTGACTAATTAAAAGTTACTGTACTTATGTTATCTAATTGTCATTTGGTCCTCCTGAGGAATAGTCATTTTTAGATCTTCTGCATTAGCTAGAACTTTTTTCATTTTAGCTATCTGGAAGCAGATTAACCAAGAGGACTCATTTTATTACTTGGTTATAGTACCAGGCTGTGCAATTTTTCTTGTCGTATTTAGATGCAGCACCAACCTGATATTATTTTTACAGTAATGTTTTCAGTTTTGTTTGCTGCTTATGCACTTGTTAACATTTTACCACATAGGAGTACCTTTATTAGTAAATCATTTTATCTCTAACTGTATTAATATGTAAGCTGTTCTAGTAAGTTTCACATTGTAGATTTGCTCATTGTAAGTTTTCAGTAGTTTTCTTTTCAATATTATATGGACCTGCAAAGTATGTTGCTAGGGACCAGAAAAGATGGTTGTGCATTTAAATTTGCTCTCTGTAGGTAAGTTAGAAATCTTTATCAGCTCCACTGATATTGGTGCAACTCAGGTATATTGCCTTTCCCTGTAGGTAAATGTCATTGTTTCTATGTTTTAGCATTCATAACCAATTTTTTTTCTCGTTTTTTTAAAAGACCTTATTCATAACCTTTGCAATTTATAACAAGTCTTCATTAGTGTCTTCAATATGGTGTATATGAATCAAATGATCTCTTCCATGGAACTTAACCATTCCTGACCTAGTCGGTTTGAATCTTATTGAAGTCATCCTAGCACCCTTTTGTTACATCTAATCATTTTACCTTGAAGTTGAACCCTTCTATTGCTTGCAAAATATGCCAAGGGTTATTCCAACTAAATACCATTCTAACATTTGGGTGCTCTAAAAATCATTCCTTTTTTCTTTCTCTATTTTAAATGGGACTGAATTATTGTCTAAGCTGCAAATCTTGTTTGCGCTTCTAACAAACTGCATTAAGACTTGAGTGACATGATCAAATTCAACTATGATCATTTACTCACACATCAAGACTGAACATAAAGACCATACGCTCTGATTTAAGTTTGTGCACATTTAAAGACTTCTTTGAGTGCCATAGTATTTAACTAGCAAATTCTTAAGTTATGAAAATAGTTGCTCATTTTTTTAAAATTAATATCTGCTTTTGGAAATGAGATGTGTCTACATTTCTAATGAACACCAAAGGTCTAATGCTGTTGAAAGCAGAGTTAATTTTCCAACAGTGTTTAGAAGACTAAGCTGCAGTATATCATTCTGAAAGGTGTTTTTAGTGCCTGGTTGTGTTAAAGTTATGAGTTGTTGCTTAATTATGTATGTCCTGAATCTGTAGAATGTATGTCTCCAATGTTGAGGAGACACTAGTCTGTTGGTTGATTGATACATGACTGGGTTTTGGTTTGGTGTAAGATGCGTCGCAGTTCTTCATTAATCTCTTCTTTATTTTGTTGTGTATAGAGAGGTCTATCGGTTTCTTTTAAGTACATTAATGACTTGTTTTTCTCATGTAGTTTAAAATTTGTTCTCTCATTACCTTGTTGTTGAATTGATAATAAAATTTTGTCAATTACACTTTATTCTTTATTATTTATGATTGCTTTATCCCTTCCCATAGCAGTGATAGTGGTTCCTTTCTGTCAAAGTAATTTATTTTAATCAAGGTTTTCTCTTATTTTTCTGTTTCAGTTCCATTACTCATCCCAAAGACAGAGGCCCTTAGCAGAAGCGGCAGTGTGGAGCACGCCAACAATAACAACAACACCAAGGATGGTGGGAAAGATCAGACCCTCACAAATACCACATCAAATGCTAATTCCAGTCTGGATGGCTCAGAAAGTTTTGCAAGTGACGTTACCACAACTCCATCATCAGGCCGACAACCCACGCGACGCAGAGCAAGACGAAGAGCGGCATCATCCAGTCAAGATCCTGCTGAACAACTCACTGAAATGAGTGTTCGGGGTTTAAATCTCTTCCGCTATGCATCAGTCACTGAAGGTGTTTATAAGTGCATGGAGTGTGCAAAAGTAGATGTGATAAAAACATTTAAAAACAAGTACAGCTTCCAGCGTCATGCATTCCTTTATCATGAGGGTTGTCAACGGAAAGTTTTCCCTTGTCCTGTATGTGCTAAGGAGTTCTCTCGACCGGACAAAATGAAGAATCACATGAAAACGGTTCATGACTGCTTCATGCCCAAAGATTGTGTATTCCCTGTCAACTTCTACATGCCTGAAGGTAATGCAAATTTTCCATAAGCGTAATTGAATCTAGAAGACACCCTCATTAAATGAGATGAACATTTCTTTTCTAAGGTTTAGCATTTAAATGTTTTTTGGTGAAAGATCGGTGTCATTGTACCTTTGAATTTACAAAAGGATCTCAAAGATTCTTGCAGCTCAGGTGCAATAAAATCCGTACTTTCTACTAGCACTATGTTTACCTTGCATTGTGATAAAAGAAGAATTCTGTCTAGATATCCCCATGGTGGACAATTTAATGTATGTTTGTAGCAATAATATTTTATTCAAAGAAAGTTATATAGAGGTAATTGATAAAATTTGATTTGGTTGAATTATTCTTTCTTTTTATACATGATACTCTTCCCATTGTAAATCTATGGTTTGAAGTTGATTGTAACTTTGATCCAGTGTTATTGCCAATTATTAAGAGATATTTTAATATCAGTGTTACTTTTGCTAAAGTTTATTCTCGTACCTGTGACAAATTGCAACCAGTGACTTTTGACAATATGTTGTTAACAAAATTACCTAAAGATAATTTAAGGAGCAAAATTGATATTTTTTTCCCGTGACTTCATGATTTAAGTATAGTGCGAATCTTTTTTTCAAGGAAATACTCAAGTTGTCCTTTAAAATGTAGATGTCTTTAAGTGAGCCACTGTAAAGCAAGTGCTTTATACCTTTTTTACAATCTTTTCAAAGCAACATGTCAGACTTGGTGGATTGTTTTAATCCATAGTGCTCATCTTTCATGTATCAGTTGATGAGCAGGTGCTACATATTTGACTGAATATCGTGTATGATGTTAAATCATTATTGTTCTAAGAGGAAGAAGTTACAAGATTCCATATATATTATATATTAGCAGTGCTATAGATGTCATAATAGGTTTCATCATTGGCATTCTGTTGCGTCACCTATTAGCACTGTTACCTATTGTTCATTCCCGACTTTATAGCGTGTTTCAGTTTTGTTGTATTAGATAAGTATTGTGGTAAACTTAATTGATTGAATGAAAAACTTCAAACTTGTCAAAGAAGTATTTTTATACTGTTAGTAGAGCATGTTGTTGTATGACAAATGAAGTTAGAAACATTTTACTTTGAAGATTGCAATAATTTGAATTCCATTGTCTTCCAACCTAGTTGTGGTGCTACGGAAAGGAACATGATCCAATCTTCGTTCCATTTCAATCAGAATACTCCAATTAGGCCAAGCCCTAATGCTGAGACTCCTCCAAATATCATAGAATATCAATGAACTGTCCCTATTTTATGATTCCACTTGAGAGCACTAGATACCTTTTTATGTGTTTTCTATGCAATTTAGTTAAAAGTAGGTATGTTATTGAAGATTGTAATTATGAAGAAACTATTGTAAAGGCCAAAAAGGTTTTAGTAAGGAATTATGAGTATATATATTGTACATATTATATAATAAAAGATGTGAGTAAAACAACATGGTTGTATTTTGTAAATACAAGTTGATGAGCGTTGTGTGATGTCCTAGATACTGGCATCAAATTTATCATTGTTTTTATCTTTTGATTTAAATTCTGTGCCCTTCATTCATTTTGAAACTCCTTTATTTGTGTGTTATTGTTTGTTAAATGGCTCATATAGTAGGGTAATCTATCAAGCTTTAAAATTTTGTGCCCTCAAATATTCCTCCTGTGGGGTATCTCAAATTGGGCCATTTTTCTTTTAGATAGTTTTAATTATTGACTAGTTTCATTTTGCGTTCTATGTTGACGAAGAAGGAATTGCTTTATCACTGAAGGTTCTAAATACATTGCCGTCTGTGATATAAAAGGAAAAGAACACACATTGTGATTTCAAGTGATTTCTAAGAACACCTTAACTACCATATTTTAAAGCGCTCTGTTTGAAGCAGATGCACTTATGTGATAAATAATTCAGAAATCAAAAAATAATTCCTTTTCCTTCTTTTTATCATAAGACTCGGCTGCAATAACAAATTTTTTGGGCTGGGAAAAAACAGTAAAGCATTTTTTTTTAAAGATTGATCTCTACCAATCTTCCTTGAAGGACTCAAAAATATTTTATGACAGGTCAAGTATCAAACAATTGGTTCAGTTCATGATGAGCGGGCCATGTTTTATGTCCAAGGCCATGAAGTTTTGCAGGTTTCCTTCGTGTGTTGAGTGAACTGGAATTCAGGTCCAACTTCCTCATAATTCACCATCACAATGACCTACCAGTGACGATTCACTTTTAGTAACCAAATAAGTACAATATCTAATGTTAAAAAGTAAGTCTTGGGTAAATTTGTAAAATTCCAGAAGACCAGTGAGTACAGTGAAAATTAAAGCTTTATAAGTGCTACGTGCAATTTGTCCAATCCCATTGTTACATTAAAAAAATGTGCGATCACTACTTTATCCTTTTAAAACACTGCGTAATTTAGTGTAAATTCCATACTAACTAATTTTGATATGTATTGTAAAAAATGTGTTGTTTGACACAGTATTTAATTTGATAATTAGTCTTAGTCATGGGGATATTGGTTTATTGTAAATGTAGATTTGTTTCACAGCTCGTATGTTATTTGTTATTTTTCACACAATTACCCCCAGCACAAATATCTTTGTTTTGGCAAGTTAAGTTTATGTCATGGAAGATTTCCAAAATGTGTATATACTTAACTTAGTTTGTTACCTTAATGGTATTGCCAGATAAATAAAACTTGAGATTTATTATTATTGTACGTTTTGTTTGCCTGTAGCCAAAAGGACACTTGATGTAGATTTTCACTGCTCTATTTTCATTTCATAATTGGACCTCTGATCTCAACTAATACTGGTCCATACAATATGTTAATACTGGTTTTGTTGTTCATTTGTGCGGATCCACAGGATTTTAATAAAAATAGCAGAATGCTTTGCAAATAATGTCATCATTTTGATACTAACCGAATTAGTACAGCAGTAAAGTTGCCCTTTTAATACTAAAACTTTTGGTGTGTAAGGATTTGGATTAAATCTGGGTGGCAAACAAAGTATGAGTCAAGTTTCGAGCTAACTGCTTCTGTTCTCCACCCAGTCAATATTATGAGTAGTTTCCATTGAACCTTGCATTTGTGCACTGATATTTGTGCACACTTGTTGTCACAATACCCCAAGATGATCTGACATAAATTGTCACACTACCCAAATCTGATCAATTTGTCCAAGAAAATTATAGAATAAACGAATGAAATGAAATCTACTCTTCTTGCTCTCTCTCCTTCGGTGCTGACCATTTTACACAAAGTGGAAACAATCAAGTTTACAGCATTTACTGTATGTCACATACCTTGATTAAAAATAACAAATCAGAAGTGAAAATTCTTCTATTCTAGAAAAAATACAAGAATAAGAAGTTACATCCTTGCCACCTCAATTTAAGTGATTGTAATTTGCTACTCGCTCGGAAGCAATACATTTGCTTCTGGGGGTGCACATTAAACTTTCATTTCAGGCTTCCTTTGCTGGCCTTTGAAGATTTACTGCCAGAAGCCTCTTGGCTAGTTCTTCCAATGCTTTGAGTACTAGCTCGACTACTACTTCTACTTCTATTGAGGCTCTGTCCATCTTGTGATGGAGCCGCGGCTTTTTCTGTTCAAGAAGAAAAAATGTAATGTTAATCTTTGAAAGGCATTGTCAAGCTGCTTACAGAGGGGAAAAATTTTACCACCACCCAGCTGAGCTGATCCCACGATGATTGTGCTCTGTAAGTCAAGCTCTGGAGGCTTTGATGCAGATTGTTTACTCAAATCTTGAGAGCGCCTGGTCTGACTAGATTTAGGCTGCACTACAGATGAGCCTCTTGTTCTCATTGATATTTGGGAGGCTACAGTAGAAGCAGTCAGCGCAGAGCCCGAAAATGCAGGGTGAACCTCTACTAAACTCCCAGCATCACCTACAGGCTTTGCTGACCTAGATGATGTAGTGCCATCCATAGGGCCTCCCACTGACCCTCCAGTTTCACTAAAGCAGGATTCAAGTTACTGAAGTGTAAGAACAAACAAAACACAAAAACCACTGACATCATATTTACCTCTGAGAGCGTATTTCAGACATGCTCCCTAGAGTAACAGAGGAATGAGGAGCACAACATGTGTCTTCCTTAAGAGGAAATACAAGCTGTGCAGGAGTTTGAAGAGTCCCATGATAAGATCCAATGGGCTGATTTGATGGGTCAAAAATGCGTCGACGGGTATAAGTGCAGCTACTGACAGAAGTAGCACTGCTTCTACCACTTCTAGAAGTGCTTGCACCACTGAGTGTAGAAGTAGATAAGACACCCTTTAAATGTTGGCCTGGCTGTGGCAAAGTTAGACCCTTCTCCTAAAAAAAGGAGAGAAAAAAAAGGGAACAAAACTATTGTACGTGTACTGGCATCTATAGCAATGTAGAAAGACAATTTAAGACGTTTAAAAGTATGCCTACTCTAAGATGTTGAGAAATGGTAGGTGAAACTTCCATGTGCCTCACAGACATTTCAGCAAGTAGTTCGAGGGCAGCTTGATTCTGGTCTATAAGTTCTCTGAGCAAAATGTCTTTCTGAAAGATGATCAATCATAATTAATAACATCTTAGTATACATACATACACAATTTATTTTAAGAAAAGATTTATTGAAAAAGTTAAAAGTGAAATTACCTCTTCCATTGCAAACATAGTGGAATCACTTTTGTTCCGCAAATCCCTAACAAGTCTCTTCAGTTGATTCTCTGCTCTCTGGAGTTTAAGATCTTGGTCCTGAAGTTCTTTAGCAAGGCACGCAGCTTCATTCTCAGACTCGTGCATGGCTGTAGTGTTATGCTCAACTTGTTCTTGTGTCTCTGTAATTCGCCTCATGATATCCTAGAGAAAAAAACAACACCATATGTAAATATCAACTTATGTTTCAAAACATTTTACAAACTGACAATTAATTTAATTAATTTGACGGTTGATTTTTGATAACAATTGTTTGGCTATGACACCTACTGTCAGAAATTTGTACAGTACCTGTATTTCAGTCTCCACTCGAGATTTCCGCTCTCTCTGACTTCTTAGTTCCACCATGGCATCATAATACTCTTGCTCCAATATTTTTAATTTTTCCCCTTCTGGTCCTACAAGTATAAAAGAAAATGTTCAAATTATTGATATTACGAAAAGGAAAATAATTATTTATATGCTAGTAAATACCCTCTTTATCAATCATGGTGAGACTTTTGCGATAGGTATCATTAGAAGTGTTTACAACTTTCAAGGTGTTCTCCATGGCTACAATTTCTTTTTCAGCTTTTTTTATTTTAGCATCCAATACATCTCCTTCTTGCTGAAGAAGGACCTTTTCTTGAGCAACCTATCAAAATATGAGTTCATTGACAAAATGATCAGAAAAAAAATATAGAAAAGTATAAACCAAGACTGCAAGATGATGTCTTCCTTCCAGAATAGACAGTGCAAAACAAAAGCAAATAGTGCAAGGGACATTTCTTACCTCTCACCTTGAGTTTAAGCATTGCAGGGGATATAAATTCTCCAAATTCATCCTTTCCAATTACACTAGTGATAATGTCATGGCGATTCTGAAGTTGGCTTCGTCTCGTATTCAGTTGATTGTAAGCAGTTTGAAGTTGTGCCCTTTCTTCATTTAACGTTTTACGTTTTGATGCCATCATTTCTTTGTGCAAATCTATTTCTAGTTGGCGCTCTTTCATTGCCTAGTGACAGAGGGGCCAAAATAAAATGTCCAGATTAATTGAAAATTAAATATGCCACTGACAAAGATGAATCTCTTGAAAAAGATAGAAAAATAATAGAAACTATGAAACTTACACTCTCCCATTCAACTCTTTGTTTAGACAATGAATAAACTTGAGATCCTTCTCGTTGAAGAGCTCTCTCTACCTGATTAACTTTAACACGCAATAATGCATGTTCAACAAGACTTTCATGATGAACTGCTTTAGCTAACTTGAGCTGCTTTTTTCCACCTTCAACCAACAGTAAACCATCTTGTCTTTTCCACTGAAGTTGTTCCACCTCTTTGGCTGTGTTGCCAAGCATGTTTGACATTTGTCTGCAATCATTCTGTACATGCAAGGTTGATACAGCAAAGTCTTTTAGGACTTAAACGGATACATCAAAACACAAAAAAACAGAAGAGTACTTTACTAACCTCTAGCCTATTAACCTGTGATGTTATAAGAGTCAAAACTGACTGCTTCTCTCTTAAAACACCTTCAAGTTCCTCAATTTTTCTCAACATTTCTTCTTGCTCTACTGATTTTGTTTCTCCAAGTGCATGTGAAATCCTTGACCTCAATTTTTGCTCAGAAAACTCCTGGGGATCAAAAAGATTTTGAATATTATTTTGATGATTTTAATGCAGAAGAGAAAACCAAAAATCTAGTTTAATTTTTACCATTTCATATGTAGCATTCTTAGTTTTTATCAAATCTTTTTCAACCTTTTCAATTTGCAAAATTATTGCTTTTTTATTTTTTTCAATAGTTTGAATTTCAGCAGTTTGCAGTCGTTCTTTCTCACATGCTGACTGCAGTTCTTGAGTAGTACGAAAGTAAATACCTTGAAGCTTATTGATATCTTTAAGAAAGCATTCTTGTAGACGTTCCTCATCCTAAAATTGAATAAAAACACAAAACCTTTGCCTTGAATTTAAAAATAAAATTTCAAGTTCCTTCAAGGAGGGTAGTGGAAATACAACCTGCACAAGTTTTTCCATGTGGTTATATCGCTCTCCAGCATTCCATAAGTTTTTGTTCACTTCCTCAAGCTTCTGCAAAAGCTGTTCATTATTAGCCTGAAGAGTATGAACTTTACCATCTCGTTCTATAACATGACGCTTAGTTTGGGCATTCTGAGTTCTTTGGTGGTTTAGTTGCATTTCAAGTCCAGAGAGGGTACGCTTTAATACATTAAGCTGTAGAAAAGAAAAGTTTTGTTTCACTCTTAAAATACTTAAAGGAATTGCATCTGCAAACTATCTTTTGTGTCTGTCACCTCATTATCGAGCTCATGGACATACTTCTGGACCCTTTGATCCTCAATTCTTAATGTATTTAAATTTCTATGAGTTTCTTGGGCTTTTGCTTCAGCTTCAGCATTATTAGTTTTCAAGTTTGCATCCAGTTCCTTGGCCTCTAGAAGTTCAGCCATTTTAATCCTCCCTTGAGCGCGGACAGTGAGAATTTCCTAAAGCATTAAGTAAAGAAAAAGATAATAAGACAATACCAATGGTTTTCTTAAATTATGGGGAAGTACTTTTTCTATAGCTTACATTTAAAGTATCATTGATGTCCTTATCTTTGAGGTGCATGGCTTGAACTGAGTGTTCCCACTGTCTGATCAATGACTGGTGGTCAATGTGTGCCTGGCGGTAAAGCTGAGCAACTCTATCAAAAACTTGCTCAAGCATGGCTGCTTCAGTAGTGGCCTCTTCAGCTGAAATATTCTGTTTATCTACTTCCACTTGAAGAGCAACTCTTTTCATCTCCAAATCCTACCTTTCCCATAGAAAGAAAATTTAGAATTAAGTTTGACAAGAAGTATTGATAAGACAATTACCTATCAAGCACTGAGTTCTTCAGAATCTGGAGTGGGTGCACTTTACTTGCCTTAAACTGAGCATTATCTTCATTAATAAACTGCTGTAAAAGTTGAAGATCCTCTCCTTTCCTATTATGAAGGTCTTCCCATGCCAGCAGTTCTTCATCATCCCATCGCATAAGCTGTTTGAGCTTATTAACTTTGTTGCGGATGACTTTAGAATCATTCTGGAAGCAAAAAATTGATCAGTGTTCTGTGAGTACAAGGCTACAAACACAAAATATCTCCAAGTATAGTTTAACTATTTCTAATGGTAATGTGCAAGTACATTCAAACTGACTTCATCAATTCTACCTCCATTGACGACAATTTCTTATTTTTTTCCTGAAGGCTATTTTTCATGTTACGCATATCTCGCTGAAGCGCTTCATTTTCATTGCGAGCAAGGGTTGTCAAATGTTGTGAGTTGTCCACTTGATGCCGGGTAGCAGCCAGTAATTTCTAAGGACACAAGAAGTAATAAAGAAATATCATCAATAAAAAAGTAAGACTTAAAAAAACTTGACACTTTTATCTATAATAAGTTTAATGCAAACATACATGGTTTTCCTTTTCTTCATGTGAAATGTTAGTCAAATGGCGATTGAGAGCATCTAGACGTTCATCCATTTCCTCTATATCAGCAACTAGCTGAGCTTTTTCTTTCATTTTTGCCTCAACCTTGAATCAATGGAAGAGTTAGTTTTATTTCATTTAGAAGTATTGACAAGGAGAAGAGTGAAAAATTAAAAGAGGTTCAAACTTTGCATGCATCAACAATAATGTGAAATAACTAACCAAGTTTTCTAAAATTTTGTTTTCTTCATTCGAAACAGGAATTCGGAAACCATCAGTCCATCCAAGTTGCTTCAATATATCTGTAATTTCCCGAACCATTTTGAGACAGATTGTGTGGTGCACAGTTCGTGTAGGTGTTCAAGTTAGTTCATGATGTTTGCAATGTCCAACGTAAACAAAAACAAAGCCACTATTCAAGAGTTTTGTTGTCATGGAAACGGGGGAGGGGAGGAGCGGGGAAGCGAAGCCAGAGAGGGGGTATAGGGAGGAAGGGGTAAGGGGTGAGGAACAACCAACGCCGAAATCAGCTGGACGACGGCTTGTGAGTTTTCTTTAGAAATTCTGAGAAATACTGGTTGTCGGCACACAACTGAAAAAGGTTATCAAGAATCACACACCTTGCAACACCCTTTTGTGATGCGGTGAGCTAAAGTGTCATCAAGGAACAATCAGTGAGCAAATACAATATCAACATAACCTCTTCTTTCTTGGGCAGAATTTTTAGTATGAGCAATGATGATGTGAGATGGATGTTTTATTTTATATCGTGTTAATTGTGTACATCAGTCTCTTTTCAGAAATTTTTAATGATGCCCGACTCAGGAGTTGTCATTAAAGTACATGCTGGATCAGATGTCATCTATTCCACTTCCAAACCTGTCGTTAAAAGTACTACTAATAATGCCCAGCGGAATGCTGATGTCTTAGTCAAGTCTCTTAGAGAAGCTAAGGCAGAAATAAATCAGTTTCTAACCGGACTGGTACTAAAGAGTGGTGACCAGGGTCAAAATGCGGGTGTGTACTATTACAAGTCGCCTTTATATCTTAAATTTGTTTTTGATGGTATGGTAAAATTTTAGTGGTTTAATGTGTATACTTTGTAGGAGCAGATGATGCTAGTGCTGATGAAGAGGATGAAGATGAGGAGGATGAGGATATTACTGAGGGGGTTGAAGAAACTTATTTGAAAGGTTCAGTTAACACAAAGCGGAAAACAGAAAACAGCATTGACACAGAAAATAGCTCTAAAATAAAAAGAGCAGTGTGATGACTTAGGTTGAGTGTGCTTTGGAGTGTGACTCAATAAAAATTTCTCATATTACTTTCAATGTATTTTATTCAGAGTTTTGCATGGGGTTAGTTCTTTACAGTTCTTTTGTACATGAGAAAGAACCATAACAACAAATAGAACCAATTTGCACGCTTCATGACACAAGATCAATATTTGTATGCCACGAGTATCAATTAGAACCATCCTTGGTGATTCCTTCATAGATTTTATACTCCACATCTTGTGGATAAAGATTTTCTTCCCCCCAATTCCCCTGAAAATTTAACCCAAGTTTTTAAAAATACATGCACCAGTAAAAAAGTGATAGGATATAAATTTTTACATTGAAAAAATTCCTTTGTGAATTTGTATAACATACTCTTAGTAATTAGATCAGAAAAGGTTAATACAATCATTTTTATCGCAATTAGTAGAATTTCCATGCTTTCATCATTTCATCATCAGAACCTTACTAGTTGAAGGGGTCCCTTTCTTCTCCCATGAACTTGAAAGAATATAAATTAAATGAAGTAATTATAGCATGAGGAGTTTCCTACATATATACATAAATCAATCAGGAGCTTTGCTTTATATGTACATAACTCGTAAGCTGCTTCTTGGCTCATAGTATCAACATTATATTTTAACATCAAAGATCTCTTTTTATACAATGGTGTAGAGAAGGTTTTGTTTTAAATTTTGTTTGGTTGCATAAAATTTGATTTTGTACTGCATAAAATCAACAATCATCTGTTTGAAATTTGCAAATGATTTGACGACACCGGATTTCCAAATTCAACTGTGGTGTTGATACCTCACTCAGATGATGGATTCACATACACCTTGTCTCTGTTTCTTGATTACGAAATCACTCCCTTTGTAGACTTTTCAACTGGAAATGCTATTTGGGGGAAAGGATTCATCGCAATGAGATATGAGCTGTTAATGGCGCCTTTGGTATCCCTCCTGTGAGTACCAAAGTCCTCACAAGCCTACAGTAGTTTTAATTTTTATCAGATAGCAGCTAAAGCAATGCTCAGTTTTGTTGAGTTTATGGTCATACTAGCCATCAATTTCCAGCTATCCCTGGATTATTTGAGTTGAAAAAAAATCTAAGTATTTTTTCAACCTCAGCTCCAATTAAGAAATATACATTTATATTAACGTACTTGTAGAAAAATCACAAGAATAAAGTCTTCATTGATTGCTTTCTAAACAATACAGGTTAAGATAAAAGGCATTATTATTTTGAATCATTGGAAGGGTGTCAAATACTAGAGACATGAATTAACTGCAGTCTTGCATTATGGCTGGCAGAGAATTAACGCATAGTTTGATGAAAAACCCCAAACAAGGCGAGTTGAGTGTCACCTGTAAAGTTTATGTTCTCACTGCCAATCATATGTGCAACTTAAAAAAGGATTGGGGAACTTCCAAATATTTTCACAAAAAAAAGTAGAGAATGTTAGAGTATTCTTACTTAGAGGGAAAAAAAAAAGAACTGCATTTAAAACAAATTGCAAAATTATTTTTACAGTTTTCAACAAAATGGCTTTGCAGCTTACCTACATATTTTAGAAAAGGTGAAATATTCATAAAACTTCAAAGTCACAGTGCAAGTGGCATTAACAACTACTCATGTCTTATTTTCCTCAGGTTAGTAGTTAAATTGGATTTCTTTGAAAACCTAACTGTGTGTCTTTGAGAAGCACTTTCTGCAATCTGTTAACATGCTTTGGCTCGGTAAACTGGTCAGTGATATGTTCATAGATAGTTTTACCCGCATTTATGATTATTCAAAAACAAATAGAAAGATAAAATTATAACCAGATCGAGATGCAGAATCACTTTCAACAGATCCAAAGTGTAAAAAGTGCTCTCTCTGGGATCTGATCTAAAATCATAGAACTTTCTCTTTAAGGGATACAAGAGAATTTTGTATGAAAGGGAATGTAACTACCTACATTTTGTTAACAACTGATCAAATCAATCTATTTTATTTTTGCTCTATGGTTGGACTTTAACCTTGGATTTTAGTGGTAAAAATTAATAATCGGTTGTGTAAAATTTTGGTGACACACAAGTAATTCAAATGATTGCTCTGACTAAACTGAAACATTATTTCCAGCCTGAGGGAACATGATAATGGTAAAAGTAGAGAGAGAAAGATAATTTAGACTTTGTAGACAATTTAATAGCAAGTAGATTAATGGACTTCAATTCAAGTATGTTGAATTATAATCTAGACACCTACCATAGAAGTTGATGTGTTTATCTAATTTATAGCACAAAATATAAAGTCCTGAAGATACACAGCTTATATTGGTCAACAGAGCTGTGTCACTAATCACAAACAGTAGAGAACACATCTAAGTTTTAAAAAAGAATTGTTACTTACATATTAATTAAAGGGAATTAGAAACAGCCCTATCCAATGAGGGAATACAAAGTTTCTGAACGACAATTCAGAACAGAAATATCATAAACAATTCAAAGAACTTCCCTGTGCCAGTCACTCAGATTAACAACCTTACAAGCTTTATATTGCAGTCAAGTCTTTGCTCGGCAGGTTTGTACCAACACAAGTTTAAACAACAACGTCAACACCCCGCGACTCGGTGAGTCGTGGAAACAAATAATAGTATTACAAATTCAAACCTAGAACAAAAGTCATCACGTTTCACCTGCCGCCCACAACCCACGTGCCACGTAGCGACAACAACCAACAACGTACCCACGGGAGCGGGAGCAGTCAATACAGGCGCGGGCCGCGGCTGCCGCGGCGTGAAGCTCAGTTTGTGCGCGTCGTTACAGAGTCCTCCCGGAGGCCCTCCCTCCCCGCCTAGGCGTCCAGCAGGACGTGCCAGCGGCAGATCTGCTCGCCGCGCACCTCGCACATGTCGTTCCAGTGCGCCGCCTCCTCCTCGCCCGACGACTTGGCGCCCAGCGCGAACCAGCCGATGGCCTCCTTCTTCTTCATGCTGCGCTTGTTGTACACCGACACGAGCAGCGTCACGTCGGGCAGCTGGAACAGGGCCACCTGCGGCACACGCGCGACGTTAGTTATGGGGGCAGAATTAATTGGACGTCGACTTACCAGGTGGCTGACTGACGCCGCGCACTTTCGAACTGTGTACCGCATGCACGGGTGCGGGCGGGGGCGGGTTTGCCTATCCTCGCTGCCTACGGCTCGTCATGGCCCCGTGCGAGTAGGCAACCCACCCACACGCGTGCATGCGGTACAGAACACGAAAGTGCGCGGCGTGGGTCAGTGGGGTCAGTGGTTTGTCTGACTGGGTTCAACGGGATTCCTCCCTCACCTGGAAGATGAAGGTCTCCTTGAAGAGCGGGTTGGGCTGGCCCCTGCGCACCGAAGACTTGGCGCGGGCGATCTCCTGGCCGGAGCTGCTGGCGAGCCTCAGGCGCACGAACGTGTCCGGCGCGCGCGTCATGGCCAGGTTCCGGAAGTGGCTCCCCTTGACGAGCTCCACGCTCAGCCGGCCCGTCGTGCCGTTGTAGGCCAGCCCCAGGAGCAGCTCGGGCACGCCGCCGTGCTGCATGGACTGGCTGGAGCCCGTCGAGTCGCTCCGCGCCAGCGACAGCAGGTCCGAGGCCGACGTCTTGAGCTGCGGGGTTAGAGCAGGGGGAGGGCCGTGAGGGAGGGTGGCTTGAGGCGGAGGGGAGCCGCCACTCGGGACTCTGACTCTACTCACCGCCGTGTTGGCCCGCGGCTCCAGGTTGAGCCACACGTTGGTCTCGGCCTCGAGGTTGATGGCGGCGAAGCTCACGACGCACTCGCCGATGAGACGCTCCCGCCGCATGCGCTCGCATCCGTACAGCCGGAAGCGCACCCCCATGCTGTTGACGTCCTCGGGGTTGATGCGGTTCAGGAGGAACGACTCCATGAACTGCGGCTGGTCGCCGTGCCGCACCTTGCTCTTGCACTTCTGCTTCTTGGCCGGCAGCAGCAGCAGGCGCACCTGCGTGTGCGTCGAGCCGCCCCGGTCCTTGGCCGGGATGTCGCGCGCCTGCAGCAGGTGGATGGTCATGTTGCGCATGGGCGCGTCGTAGGCGAAGGCCACCTCCAGCTGGCCGCAGGCGCAGATGGGCGCAGCCGCGGCGCCGCCCCCGGCGCTCCGGGCCGCCGCCGCCAGCCGCCCCCCGGCCGAGCCCGCCGTGCCCGCGCTCTGCACGCTTTGGATGTCGGAGGCGGCGCCGTCCTCCTGGTTCATCATGACGATGCACTGCAAGGAGAAGAGGAAGGTGAGCAAGCAGAGCGGAAAAAAATAATTAAGCAGAGAAGTTTGAAACGCCAACAAGAAAGTCACATAAAATATTTAAGAGTTGATATGCCAACAAATCCCCGCTGCGGTCTCACTTACGTCCTGACTCCCACACTGGTCCCTCGTCGGTTCCGGAACCACCTCCAGCGGCGGCTCCATCTTCCGGTGCGCATATCTCGGCGGATATCCTGGCCAGATGCTGGTGCTGGCGTTGCCACCCGCGAAGTTGACCACTGGAAAGAGACATCCTGGTCAGGGTTTGGTTGGTTGGGTAGCGCACTGCTGGTGTGGACATCGGCGTCCCCCTTACCAGGCGTGTGGTGCTGGTGGTGGCCGCGACCCTCGCGGTGGCGGAGCATCTTGTCCTCTTCGCTGCAGCTCGTGGAGCCCGAGCTCGTCGAGCCGTTGGACGAGGCGGCCAGCCCCAGGCACCCGCGCTCCGCCATGGACATGAGGTCCGTGTGCGGCGGGTAGGTGTGCGGCCCGTGGGGGTCGTGGGGGCCCGGGGGGCCGTGGGCGCCGTGGGGACCCGGCTCCGGGTAAGGGTAGGAAAAGTGACGGCCCCCCAGGCCGTGGCCGGCCATGCCCGCGTTGCCTATGCTTCCCGAACGGGAGGGGATTTCTGCCGAAGGGGAGAAAAAGGATGGCGGTTAGGAAGATCGTCGAGGAGTCGAGCTCAGGTAAAGTGATGCGTTACTCGTCCTCGGACAGGACCTCCGCAGTACTCACGTATGTGGGTGGTCTGGCCGTAGTGGGCCTGCAGCTGACGGTGGAAGGCGAACTCGGTGCGGCCGGCGGGCTGTCCGCCGCCCGGGCCCAGGGCGCCGCCGTGGCCGTGGCTCCCGGACGCCGACGGGCCGGTCACCTGCAGCTCGGCCTCGAGTCGGCGCCGCCGCCCATCCTCGTCGCTGTCGGAGCTGCTGCCGGCCTCCTCGAAGGAGAAGCCGCGCCCTGCGGTCACGCCGGGTAGGGAGGGTCAGTTCGGGGCGCTCGCTGCTGCAGGCGCGTCCGCACCGCGGCCCGACGGCCATCTGCGGCGTGCGTGCGGGGCGTGGGCCTCCGACACCACCGCGTCGACCACCGAGCACTTAGCGCAATTGTGGTCGCGTGGCCGGGTCATTAGGCTGACCGCTTGGCGTGGACTGGCCCGGGCCCTGCGGGGCCTGGAGGGCCAGTCCCACTGCGGGGGCCAGGGGAAGGGCAGGGCAGGCGATGACGCTTGTACCATCACTCACCCCGCCCCCCGCCCCGTCCCCACACATCGCTCCTACCCTCCCTCCGCACGCAGGCGGACGTACACGAGTGCTCCACCGGGAGCGCCTGCGGGGTAGACTGTCCCGCTGCGCACGGCTGTCTGGCAGGACTGCCTACCCTGCAGGCGCTCCCCGCCAGCGGAGCGCTGTGCTGAAGAGTCTGACAAGACATGGTGTTTCCAGTTAAGAATTTTGTTGTTTCCACGCTAAGCGCGCGCTCACGCTGAGCGTGGAGGAAACGACCAATTCTTAACTGGATATAGCAACAGTCGGTCAGCAGCAGCAGCGCGGCACTCGGCTAGCTTAGGCCAGCAGCATCGGCACTCACTCAACTCTACTCACCCAGGTCGGTCTTGCGCGGGCGCGGGGCCAGGCGGATGCCCCACGTCTCATCGCAGCAGTTGAGGCTGTTGATGCCCGTCAGGCACCAGCGCTTGTTCAGGTACAGGATGACGCCCGCGATGACGGCCAGCACCCCGGCCACGCCGACGACGACCGGCACTGCAATCAGCAAAACAGAGGCACGCACCGTCAGTCACAGAGTTGTGAGCGCGGGAAGCGTTGTTGGTGGATGTTTCACGAACAGTCCGCGTCGTCCGCCAACTTCACTTTTTGAGTCCGTCAGACGCTAACTCTCCCACACTCCGCCACCCCCGCCCCAGCACCTACCCCCATCCCCCAACACTTGGGTGAACTCCGCGCGCGTTTTCAGCGCAGCTGATAAAACAAATAGTAAACTGGTCAGGACGCTGGCAGCATGACGGAGAAAGCGCGCGCCGTCCATGACGGGAACGGGAGGAGCAGCCGGCGGCAATCGAGACAGACAGAAAGGGGGGCGGGGTTAGGGGGCAGGGGGACGCTTCCCGATGACGCACTCAGACGTCGCCATCATCTCCCTCCTCCTCATCCTCGTCGCCGAGTCGGGGCGTGCTCGACGAGCAGAGAGGCTCCCCTGCCCCCCTCCGCCACCACCCCGGCGGCCCCGGCGCGGCGCCCGGCCACTCCAGACGACGTGGTTAATTCATAACGATGCCGTTGATCACCTCCTCCAAACGGCCGGCCGGCTGGTCGGCCGGTCGGCCGCCTATTTCTGTCCTCACGACATGCAGGTGCAGGTGGGGCGGACGGCGGCAGCGGGGCTGGCGCCACCAGGAAAGCACCCTGCCTCGCCCACCCAATCCCCACGCCCACGCCATACCGGAGCGCGGACCCACCACCCGCGAAAAGATTTTCGGACTCCATCAAGGCCATCAGATTTTGATGCGTTAGGTGACGTGTGGCGAGTGGGCCTCGGGGGCGGTGGCGGTGGTCGTTTTCGTCATCGCAGGTCCGATGGGAAGGTCAGCGACGTGGACGTCCGCCGCCCACCCGAGCCCCACGCGTGCACCGAGGCCGTCGCGGCCGTGACGCTATACGGCTGGAGGTCGCGCGTCGCGCGCAGTGAGCAGCGGAGGCAGAATATCGCGTCTCAAATTATCACCATGATTACTTCATTTTCTTCTCGCTTTTTCTTTCTCTAAAAGCCTTCAATTATTTGAATTTGCTGCTGCTCCGCGTCGTGTTTTTTTTTTGCATTTTTTTTTCGTGGAGTCGCGCCGGGCGCCGGTATACATATCGCGTGAGGGCAGATAGTTTTATTTTTAATCATTCATCGTC